GATCATGGGATGAGCTGACAATGAAATGTCTAGCGTGCTGCCTGCAGCGCGCCATATGACCTTGTGCGCGAGGCTGCGAGAACACAGGTGAGGGAGCTTCCACTTCAAGCCCGCCCTTGAAGCGGTCTAGTCCGTGATGACAACTGACTCCAAACAGAAAAGGGAGGAGAAGGGAAGAAGCAAGGTGGGGCTTTAAATCAATCAACCTCAAGGGAATGGGAAAGAAGAAACAACAATGAGGAATAAAAAAGAAATTATCAAAAAATAGGAAGCAAATTCTCAAACAAATGGAAAGGGAAGAAAAGAGGGAACTAAGGTGTGGATCCGACCCCAAGATGGAGGAGCAGAAAGGAGAGTGGGAGAAAAAGAGAAGGGGACTGGGCAGCATTAAGAAAGAAGCAAATGGAAATAGACTCTGGTCTGGGATAATTCAGTGTTGAGTCCCAGCTCTGCCCTAGAGGGACACTGTGACTTAAGAAGGGTTAGCCTCAAGTTTCTCCTGCAATTTTTACATAAGGGGACAGGGTTTGATGATCTAAGGATCCCATGGGGCCCCTTTAGAGAACCCTATGAAAATAGTTTCCCCTGAGTCTGCTCCCTTTCTCTTTCCTCTTCAGTTGCTGATGTTTGGGGCTCTACTCAGGAGGTAGAAATAACTCTGAAGAAGTAAGGAGAAAAAGAAAGAACAATGACACAAGAACAGTATAAGGCACACTCAGAAATGAAGAAGCAAATGGGTCAAGTATTAAGAAAAGAAAAGACATTCAAAGGAAACAAAATAATTGCAGTCCCCACTGGGTGGCAGGCACGGTGCCAATGAAAGTTTTCTGTTGTTATTATTACATATTTATCTTTATGCCCTTGTAAATGGTATTTAGTATCAAGTCTCAGATATGGTTTTAAAGCAAAAATACAGCATGTAAGTGGGTGGGCAGGAGAAAGCACTAGACTGAATATGTTAGGGAAGGAAAAATACAGCTACATGCCTCAAATGACAGAAAACTAAAACAAAAATAATCTCATCAGAAAAGGCATCAAAGATCCTGTGGAGAAGGGACTTCCAAAACAAAACTCAACAAACAACAAAGGCCTAAAACAGAAAAGGCCTAACAAAAATGGAGAGAGCTAGGAAGTTTTGAACTGGTATGCCCAGCACACTGGTGTGTTCCCAGGGGGTTTCTGTTATAACTCTCTGGCCACCAGCTGGGAAAAATTTGGTCTATTTGTCACACTGTGTGATGTCATTACTAAATACAAATAAAATGCATACTATTACTGCTTAGCTTCTGAGATGGGTTGTGACCTGGCAAAGATTGGGGAGCACTGCAATTTTATTCACAGGAAGAAGAGAAACAGTAAAGACACACCTATAAAAGCGAAACTAGAGGAAAATTCATAACAGAATAATCGGAGAGGAGCAGCAGCTGGGTTTGCTCAAATCTATATGGGGGAGAAAGTAAGGCTCCTGGTTACAACGTGCAGCTAAAAATAGATGATGAAATACTTATTATTTGAGCTGGAAGGAATCTTAAAGGTTAAGACAGGATTTGAACACTGGTTTTGCAGTTCTGTGTGTACGGCTTGTGTCTTCCAGCTGGAGTGCAGGCTCCTGGCTTGTATTAATAGGATGGTCACATGTGGGTTCATAGCCTCACTGCAGAGTTCACCGTGGCTGATGGAGTGTAAACATGTAATTCATGCTCGTGGAATGAATGAAGGAGTTAGCGCGTTTTATTAAACATTCATTTTACAAAAGTCAAGAGAATCAGGGCAGGTCCAGGGTGTCCTGGCTGCCAGTCCCGGGCTCATTAGGCTCCTCTGCCATCCTTTTTTTGTTTCATGACTCCTACCAACAAACAAACAGCACGCAGTGTGGCCCAGGAGCCAGGAGCCAGCCGCATGGGTCCTGGTTCTCTCCCTCTCTGCGGGCCTCAGCAAAACCACTTCTGTCTAAAGCCCCAGTTTTCTTCTCTATGAAATGCTGTGTTTGGATCAAGTCACTTATGTGACTTCTTAGTTGAGAGGGGCACATAAAACCCTACTCTACCTCAAGAAAAAACTCTGGAATAAGTCTGGTTTTCAAAGGAAATCTTAAACTGAAACTAGCTTCCAGGCCTTTTCACACTGCCTGTCCGTACGAACACCAACAGATGAACGGGGGTGTACCATGTAATTTTTGCTATATCTGAACCATGTTTAAATTTTTTCACACAAGGAAAAGAACTATACATTTCTCCCTTTTTTAACCTGACTTTTCTTTGGCAAGTGGCATAGAACTTTCAGGATGCTGAGTCTTGAAGGATTTTAGCTATCATCTGAATTTGGGTAATTAGATTTTCACCTGTACACAGAAAGCTAAAAATTAACTCCTCTGTGTGTGTATGTATTTGTGTGTGTATGTGTATTAATTTCTCAGTTGTGTTTGACTCTGTGAAACCCCATGGACTGTAGTCCGCCCTGCTCCTCTGTTGATGGAGTTCTCCAGGCAAGAATCCTGGAGTCAGTTGCCATTCCCTTCTCTAGGGGATCTTCCCGACCCAGGGATTGAACCCGGGTCTCCGCATTGCAGGCAGATTCTTTACCTTGAGCCACCAGGGAAGCCCCAGTTATTTTCTTGACTAGCCTTAAATCTTGAAGCCAGCTTTTGCCTTTCTGTCTATCTTTAGGGTTGTGGAGTAAAATAAATGTTAAAGAAGGGAAAAGCTTTCAAAGAGATCACTGTTCAAATCTCTAGTACAAAAAACTCGGGTTTGTATTTGTGTCTGATGGAAACCACTCCAGCCTAATCTCTCCAGACTCAGCAGACGGGAGAAGGGCCAGAGGCAGCTGCTACAGGACACGAAGCTAGCCTGTGCCACTTCCTCCCTCCTCGGGGCCCTGTCCTCCGTTCCCCTTGCCCTGCGCCTCCACAACTCACACAAAGGCCTCCCAGGATTAGCTGCTCCCAAACAGCCTTAGGTAAACATCCCACCTGTCCAGAAGATGAAAACACTTTTGTCTAGAGGCTACTCCTTTCCTTCTGCAAAGCTATCTATCTCTAAATTGGGGCCTCTTCCATATGCATATTTCTCTATTTCCTACATTGAACAACAGTTGCATTATTTATCTTTAATCTTCCCTTCCTTCTTTTTTGTGTTCATTACATACAGCCCGTTGCAAATTCTTGGAAAGGCAGAATTCTAATCATCTATTTCTAGATTAGAAATGAAATGAGGGTTGTGCTTTTACCTGAATTTTTAGAGGAAAATCCAAGAATTATTGAACAGTGGTCTATTGTGGGTTTTTTTTTTTTTTTTTGCAGCCTAGTAAATATAACACATAGTAAAATCCCTTAATTTGGAAAGCTTTTATATTTTCCAACAACTGTTCCATGATCTGACATTCACACAAATGTTGAGCAGTAGAAATCATTGACACACAGTTGTCATGGATCCTATAGAGTTTGCATGCCCCAGAACACACAACCAGTGAGAAGATGCTGGCACTCTGATCCTACCTTCTAATTTAAGGCTTTTTCATTGCAGAAAGAAACAATGTTCCTCTCTTCCTCTTCAGTACAGAGAAGACAGGAATGGCTTATTTTTTTATGTAAGCATAGAAAAGGTCCCTCCCCTCTTCCTCTCCTTTCCCAGTTCAGTATGCTCTTACCAAGGCATGAAACCCCTTAGAAGCGTTTATGCGGACAACCTTTCCTCACGTGAGGACAACAGGAGAAGGAGAAGGCAAATCTGTCCCCCAGTGCTGGCAGCTTCCTGCTGTATCTGAAGGGTGGGTGTGTGTGTGTGTGTGCATTCAGTTGCTTAGCTGTGTCCAACTCTTATGATCCCATGGACTGTAGCTCGCCAGGCTCCTCTGTCCATGGAATTCTCCAGGCAAGAATACTGCAGTGGGTTGTCATTTCCTTCTCCAGGGGATCTTTCCAACCCAGTGATTGAACCTGTATCTCCCTTTCACCACTGAGCCCCCAGGGAAGCCTGTCTGAAGGTTGCCCCTGCCTTATATGCTTGACATAAAGTGTCCTGGTTCAGAAAATCTGGGCTCCCCTTCCTATCAAGTTCCATGGACTGTAGTTACAGCAAGGATTCCCACCGATGAATTTGGATGGACTCCCGTGTCAGAATCCACATCTACCTCATTTAGAGGGGGGAACAAGGGGGAGCTGATTCTTTTCTGATGGGAGAGAAAGCAGATAGGAAAGGGTGCCTTGTAGGCATTCCCAGCAGAGCGTAGTGGATTCACTCTGAACAGACAGGATCAAACACAGCAGCTCCATCCCAGGAGCCACTGCAGCTTAGGAATCTCCCATCCCATAGGGGTCAAGCCATGCGTGTGTGTGTGTGTGTGTGTGTGTGTGTGTGTGTGTGTGTGTGTAAAACACCTTAAAGAGTTTGTAAAGACTTTGGACTTGCCTAAACAACGTATTCTGACTGTCTAAAAGCAAAACCAAGAGCTTACAAATAGTCTCTGTATAAGAAACTTCAAGAGAAAGATGTGGTGGACAGGCAGAAGCCATTCTGCAGACTTTAGAAAACCTCTTAACAAGAACATGTCAGTCTTTGACTCTCCTCACTCTGAGGAGCAGCCAGGGTAATGGTGTTTCCAAAGATGTCCTGTGCCTCTGTCACTGGGGCTGCAAGGAATAAAGCTCACTCCACAAAATCCAGACCAGGTTTTCACTTCTGCCCCCCTGCCAATCTTCACCCAAGGCTAGCCCTGAGAGATCCCTCCTACTCACTGTGGGAAAGACACTCAGGCAATTTGAAAAGGTGGAAGGGAAAAGGCCAGCCGTGGGGCTGAGGAGTGGGGAGAGCAGGAAGCTTGGCAGGAAAATTAGCTCCTTAATAATCTGAATGGGGTTCTATTCTTCCGAAAATACCTCCTCTGCTGTAAACCCGCCACTTCAAACACAGAACCTTAGGGCTGCTCTTAATCCCTTAAACCTGATTATCAAAGTGGTGGCCACTCACCAGCAGCTGCTCCCTCCGGCTTTCTGGTGGCCATCATCTGTGCTCCACCACGAAGCTCATGGTGGTGCCGTCAAAGGAGGGGGGCGCGACGATCCGCGGCCCCAGGGGCTGCGAGGTGATGCTGATGACAGGCTTGCCGTGCAGCTGGGCAAAGCCCTTGGCCCCCACGAGCTGCGGGGTGGCTGCCGGGGCGGAGGAGGCAGAGGAGGCGGGAGACTGGCCGGAGGCCATGAAGTAGGGGGCCTCGGTGAATGCTGCAGCTGCCTCTTTGCTGGGGGGCTCTGCGGTCAGCGGGGAGAGCTCACCGCCCCCTGGAGTGCGAGCAATCGGCGTGGGCTGCAGGGCGCTGGCGGGCAGCACCGTGGGCAGAAACCCAGGGTAGATCATGTAAGTGGGTCCATAGGCCCCAGGACTCAGGGCCAGGGGAGGCACAGGAAGGGACATGGGGGCCACTGCCTGCTGCTGGGAGGTCATAGGCACGTCCACATACTGCCCCGTCTCCGGGTCAAACAGTCTCCGCGTCATGGGCTGTACTGGTGTGTCCACCAGATAGTACTGGCCGGTGGTCACATCCAGGAGCATCTTGCGCTGGGTCTGCTGAGGTGGGGGCTGCTGGAAGGGGTCCGTGGGGACGGGAGCTGGGCCGGCAGGTGCCGGGGCCGGCATACCTGGCGGGGAGAAGCAGAGGACCTGGGGCTGGGCGCTCTGTAGGGTGAAGGGCAGTGGCTGCTGGTGGTAGATGGCGGTGGGGGGATGCTCAGGGCTCTGGGGCCCCGCGGGGGCAGCTACTGTCTCCCGGGGGTGGTCAGGTTTGCTGCGCCAAGCTGGCCGGCTGGTTCCACTGACCTGAGAGCCCTTGGGACTAGTGGGTACCTGACTGCGAGCACTCAGTGGGGGCAAGCTGCAGAGAGTGGCCGCGGCCGAAGAAGCTGGGGGTCCCTCCCTCCCTGCCCCAGGCCTGCCTGGAAGCTCTCCAGCTGCAGAGCTTCCTTTAAGAGGGATGGTCAGGTAATTCTCACAGTCACTATTGCTCTTTTCCAAATTGCTGCTGCTTTTCCTGTTGGTCACCTCTTCCAGAGGTGCCCGGGTGGCCGGAGAGATCTTGAGGGACCGCAGCCCCTGCGATCTGATGCCCTTGGCGGCCGCCGAGGGACTCTCCGGAGAAGGGCCTTGCGGGAACTTGCCAGCGACTCCCCCAGTTTTCTGGGTGCTGCTGGCACTCACTGTGAAGACGTTCCGTTGGCTGGGGAGCGGGGGCAGGGGCTGGGTTCTGTCCACATCCTTGTGCACCGGGGGAATATAGAGGGACCGGGGCCGCTCCCTGGCCAGGTTCTCAAAGGCAGCCGCGCGGGCGGACACACTCTCGGTGCTGGGGTTGGAGTTCCTCCGCTGTAGACGCTCTGGGCCCCCTCGCAGGACCACCCCGCCTTTGTTCCCGACGCCCCGAGGCTCCTCCACCTCACCCAGCCGCCTGGCCAGCTTGTCGGGGTCAGCGCCGCCGGCCCCTCCCCGCTCCTCGCTGGCGATGAGCGACAGGACGTGGCTGTCGGTCAGCAGAGGCAAGGGGTCGCTTTTCCGCTTCCACTCGTTCCTGTTGAAGCTGTACAGCTCTTCCATGGACCTCACGGCGGCCGTCAGCTTCTCCAGAGCATTCCGGGATGTCTTGGGGCCTTTCCCTTCCTCCTTGACTTCCTCGTCCTTGAACTTCTCTGGGGTCTTCTGAGCCTTGGAGACGATCTTGAGCACAGGCAGGTAGGAGCCCTGCTCAGGCTTATTGGGGGCTATGGTGGCTACTGGCAGCCTGCCAGACGCCCTGTGCACCAAGACTGTCCCTTCTGGCGAGGAGGAGTTCAAGACCCTGCCGCCTCCCTTGCCCGCGTGCTCCCTGGGCTCTCGCTCGGCGCTGTCCTCCCTGGGGTTCACCACCGCCTGGCACGTGATCACCATGGGGGACAAGGATCCGGATCCCCCAGCGGCAGGAGCCAGCTGCCTGGGTTTGGGCCCAGTCAGCCCCTGCTCTGGGGTAACGCTGCCCTTGTCACTGCTGTCCCCTGACCCCTTGATTAGCTTCCGGACATCTCTCACCTGATGGAGGGGACCTTGGACCTTGGACTTGTCCCTGACGTCTCTCACCTGGAACTGGGGCACTTTTTCCAGGTTGTCCCCCCGGAAGAGCTTCTGCTGGGCCCTGCTGTTGTCCTCAACGGTCTTGAAGAGGTTGGAGGCACTGCCGCTGGCCAGTTTCGGCGTGAGCAGCTTGGCAATGTTGAAGTCCGAGCTCGGCTGTTGCACGCTCCCCAGGCGGATCTTGATTTCGGGAGCCTTGGGTCGGATCACTGCCGTGGAGGTGGCCTGAGCAGCAGGGTACTTGGTGGCCTGCTTCCCCGGCTGCTTATCCTTGGGTGTCTGCTGGATGTTGGGGACAAAGAGGCGAGACATGATGGTGGACTTGCTGGCAGAGATCTCCCCCAAGTCGGCCCTCCAGTCACCCCCCTTGGGGAGCTTCAGCTTCCCGACGGGGGCTCTTTCTTCTCGCTTCTCAGCCTCTTTCTCCTTCCAGGACCGGAATGCACTGTTCTGACTGCGGAGGAAGATGCCCTTGACAGTCTCTGAGGCACTCTTTTTAATTTCACACACTTCTGGGAGTCCATCAGCAAAATGACGGCTGGAGCCTGCGTGGCTCTCCCGAGGGGCGCTGGCTTTGAAGATAGGGGATTTAGACCCAGCTACGGCCCCCTCCCCACCGGCATCAGACATGCTGACCACCGTGTACTCGGAACCGGCCTCCGAGTGGCGAGAACTCTGCCTCTGCAGACCCCTCTCGCGCTGCTTCTCAGCCCCGGGGGGAGGGCCCTCCGTCTCCTTGGAGGTGCTGGAGAGGTGATGGTGGGATGTGTCGCTGAGTTCTCCCCTCTCCATTTTGAACTCGTGTTCCCGCTGCATCTTCTTGGAGATGACATTTTTGAGCAGGCTAGAAGCAAACTTGGACTTCTGGGGGCCATCAGCGCGGGAGGCGGGCTTGCCGCTCTCGGAGGTCTCTGAGCCATCGTCCGTGTACACTGACCCGGGGCCCTTGCTGGGGCCTTTGGTGGCCTTGCAGGGCCCCACGGCCGAGCTGGCTTTGCTTTCACTGCGTAAATTCAGAGGCTCGAGAAGGGTGACCACGCGCGGACCCGACTGGACCTGCTTCTGGAAACACAGAGGTGTCTCCACGTGTTTGATCTCGCCCTCGACTTTGCTGACCACAAACTCCAAGGCCTTGGTCTGGGACTTCTTGGATTGGATGTAGAGCTGGTCTGCCGTGGTCCTGGCCCCACCACCCTTCCTCAGCCCTGCAGCCACGGAGGCCGCGCTGCTCCTCAGGAGGCTCTGTTCCACCCTGGCTCCAACACCTCCACATTTTAAGTCCAGGAAGGTCGACCAGCGCCCAAAGCCGACTTCGGAGAGCACGGAGGACTCCCGGGAGCTGATGTTCAGAGCCTCAAAGTAGGGGTAAGCGAGGCTCCTGAAGGCCCGAGAGGTCAGGTTACGCACCTCTTTGTCCGCATCATCCAGCTCGCTCACGGCACTGGAGGCTCCACTGGAGTAGTCCACCAGCTCCTTCGCCCGGATGGCCCCGCACCGGGTCTGCAGGCGAGCAGGGACGGCGATGAATTTCTTTGCATGGTCCTGAGCCACGGCTGCAGCCGGGTCTTGCTTCAGCGAACTGGAATTGTGTTCAGCAGCTGTAGAGACGCGGAGGCTCATGTCGCCTTCATGCTTGGCAGCATAAATAATGTTTTGCTTTGCACACACGTTGCTAGGCTCATTTATAGCCCGGGAAGTCGGTTTGATTGATAGGAGGATCTGGCTTGCTGCGTTCCCACAGCTGCTGGCGGCGGTGGCTGCTGCTGCCCCTGAAGCCGCCTCCGGGGGCTCGGGCAAGGGCTCCCGCGGGGTGGCCGTGCCAGGACCCGTGGGTGGGGGAGTGGGGCCACCGTCCGAGGGGCCGCTGCCCACTTCTGTGCTGCTGGTGTCACCGCCGCCGCTGCCCGCGCCGGGACGGGCGGGGTCGCTGCTGCTGGGGCTGGGTGTCCGGGTGGCGTTGGTGCTGGGAGTGGTGCTAAGGTAGCAGCTGTTGTCGTCGTCCTCTTCGGTCAGGGTGGTGACGTCCTCTGGGGTCTCGTCGCTGCCACCGAAGGAAGCGTAGTCCACAAACGAGTAGATCACGTTGTTGTCCTCGAAATCCCAGCGAGAGGCCAGGCCCACGTCGAAGTCCATGTCCTGCTCCACCTCGCTCAGCTGGATCTCATGGGTGGTGATGTAATGGGCCTCCTGATTTCTGGGGGGGTCCCGGCTGCCCTGAGACTTGGCAATAATGTCTCTGCACTCCGTGGCATCCCCTTCCCCACATCTCCCTCTTCCTCCCCCTCCTCGGCCTCCTGCTTTTTCCCCTTCTTCTCCCTTGGGCTGGCAGCTCAGCGCGTTCTCACCACTGTCACTCTCGAAGCCTAAGGATGAGGACGAGGTGGCCAGAGCCCCTGTGGATGTGGTGGTGCCATCCATCTTGGACAGGCCACCTCCTTCTGCTCCGTCCACTGGGGAGGAGGAAGAGGAGGAAGAGAAGGGATTGCTGCCCTCATCGGTACTGGCGAGCTGGGATCTGGAGAGTTCCGAGGGGACAGAGTTCTTCAGGGGGGCTGGAGCTTCGTGCTCTTGACTGCTGACTTCGTCTCGGGCTTTCTCCTGGGGACTCTTCGAGCCCCTCTGATCCCCCTGGCGCTGCTCCCGAGTGAGTCTCATGGTCCGGGGACTGTCCCTCGGGACTCCAGCTGAAGCGCACATCTCCACATATTTTGCCTCTCGCAGGGAGGAGGCTGATGGCTTGGGAAGCGGCTGCAGCTGCTGCTTTAGCTCCTGGCTATCTTGAGCTCCGCACACCCCGTCCCCCACCTCCTTGGATCTGGCCTGCAGATTCGGTTCAGGAGGGGTGCCTTCCATTCTGAGCCCTCGCCTAGGTGTCAGCGACAGGAGGAGACAGTGGTGAGTGACGGGGCTGTCCTGGGTCCCTCCCTGGCCCTGGAGGGGCTGCAGCGCAGCCTGAAGCAGGGTCCCACGTGCCTGGACTGGCCCCAAGGCTGCAGGCACCCTTACCACCGCCGCCGCCACCTCCCAGTTCTTCAGCCCCTGTGGCGGGGCCCAGGCCGACCTGAGGGAGGTAGGAAGGCTCCTGGGTGGGGTGGCAGAGGTGGTCTGTGGCCAGGGGGCTGCTGCTCTGGCCGAGACTGTGGCCAGCTTCCAGCAGCCAAGCTGTTCTGCCCAGTTGTTGGCCTGACGCTGTCGGCAGCTAGGAGTCTGAATGCCATCGACCACGGAAGAAGCAGCATCTGTAGGTCGACTCCGGGACTTCCAGAAATGAAAGGAAAGCATGTGCTGTTTCTTGTGGAGCCTTGTCCCTTTCCTGGATGGGGTAAGAGTGGGTCACGTCATTCCAGAAATATTTTTAGTGTCTATTCCCTAGTCATACTGAAACCACACTTGAGGGTAGAGAGAAGAGGCTCTGAGATGAAGAGAAAATGTGGGAGGTAGAGAAGACGTGTGGGTTCTAAATGAAATCAACCAAATGTCCTATGTAATCTATTATGGGGATGTCTAGCAAGTATGAAATTATTCTTTACTCACTGCCGTCTTTCATTCCCAAGTCTGATTAAATGTGTCCCCCCCACCCCCCGCCTTGTCCTTAAAGAAATCTGAATTCAGCAGTGCATTTCAAATCAATTAAGGACAGCCCAGAAAGACTTCAAAATCTCCCTTGGACATATGGCAGCTTTATGTTTGTCTGAAAATCTATGCCTTTTCTTTTTCTTTCATCTTAAATCAGTTGAGTTCTGGTAATACTACCTTTCGTAGGAATAAAGCGCTCTCTCCCTCCTTCCCCAAAGTTCCACTTTATGAAACATAATCTATTTGTTTAAAAATAGGAAGAACTCCTCCAGCCCTTACTGTTGACTAAAGTGTAAAAGGGCAATTTTCGGAGACTTGAAACTTTACACTTGAAATAAACTTTTAATTAGAGTCACCAAAAAGCACCACATGGTTCCGAACTGACACTACTTCAAATCCCTACAATCTCAAAAAGTTCCCTAAATTTCCAAAACCGTGGCAAGACAATAAACCTCCAATTATATATAGCCTGAGCTGCAGCCTCACGATTCAGTTACACTGGCCGGATTCCAGACCTGCAGGGCATCGAGTCAGAAGGCACGGAAGAACAACGAATACACTTACCCTTCACGAGTACAGTGCGGCTTGGAGGGAGGTTCAGAGAGGAAATGTGACCCGCTGGCATGCCCCATGGCACCGAAGCCAGAATCCTAGGTCACTGGCTCTGAGATCCTTTCATTTCAAACAATTCAGGAGTTATGCAAGTGTATTTGCCAGGCAACCCCAGATGGGGGTTTTGGGCTGGCCATCCTCAGAGCAGATCCCTTGGGTCTATCAGTGGAGAATCACAACTCTTGGTTTGGTGAGATCTGGCTCCCATCGCCTGCCAGGCCCAGTTCCACCACTATACATAGTCTATGTGTCACTTATGCCGATTGAATAAAGCACTATTTTAAACATTCACATTTGTGGGAAACAAAAATAACACCATCAACCATCCCCTTCCAGCATGAAGGCCACCCCCGCACTGAAAAATGTTCCTTCCTCTGGCTGGACGTGGGGGGAGGTATGGAGTGGGAGCCCCTAGCAACTGAGGCATCCACCTTCTCATTCTTGGGATGTGGACAGTGCAGCCCTGCCATTCTCCCAAGACAAGTCTCTCCTGCCCACATCACTGCCATTGAAAACATGACATAGGGAAGGCTGGAAATATCAAGTATCACAATGTGGATAGAGAGCCAGAGCACTAGAGGCAGAGAGTAAGAGAAAAGGAAACAGAAACAGAGAGGGAGAGAATAAAGAACAGAAAAGTGAGAGAGAAAGAGGGGACTTGCTAAATCTGTGATCAAATTTTTGATTATGGAGAGCCAGGTATAATGGCACAAAATCCTAGATTCTTAATGATAATAAAAAACTGAATCACAGTAGTTACAACTAAGGGTTCCATAGTGTTTACTATGTGTGAGGCATCATCTGAGGCACTTTTAGATGTGTCTGTATTTATTTATTTAATTCTCACTACAGCCTGGTAAGTTAGGTACAATAATTGTAGTGAATTTACAGATGGAAAAGCTGAAGCACAGAGGTGTTAAGAAATTATAGGGCAGAATTAAAATCCAGGCTGCCTGGTTCTAGAGCTTGCCCCTTCATCATGTTGCTACACTGCCTTACTGACTTCCATGCTCAAATACTGTCTGCTACACCCAGATGCCCAATTAGACGGGAGCAGGAACACCTAGGCTATTTCATCTGAATGACCACAAATAAGCCATGTAACCATTTTTTGGTTTTGTTTTGTTTATATCATCAGCCTGCGTTCACATTATATATTCAGGGATTAAGGAACATGAGCCTATAAATAAAATGAAATAAAATACATTTGTCTCCTCCAGGCAAGCAGGATACTTCCAAAGCCCCATTTTAATTTTGCTTTGAAGCCTTGGACAAGAAACCCTGAATACTACCTCAAACACTGTGGGCCATACACACTCCTCAGCTGATTAGAAAACAGAGTTTCTGCCCATCAAGGCAATTATACTTCAAGAAGAAATGTTTCCAGCACTTTCCATATGGCCCTGTCTGTCATGATAACTCAACAGATTTTAGCAGTTTTGCCTTGCAGTTGGCAAAGCACAGAATTGAAAGGTCAGATGCCCTGGATGCAGGTTAAGCATAATTATTCAATGTCCTGAGTTCTAGCAGCTTTCTTCTAGAGTTTTGCTTCTTCCAGAGAGTACAACCCCAGCCCAGACTCCCCACAAAGAGAGAAGGTTAACCTAAAATAGGCACTTACCTCCAAAATACCTGTGTGGCTCCTTTTTTTCTATTCTAAGTCAATGATAGCATAGGAACAAATTTGTAGAAAAAAAAATTGACCTTTTTCAAGTGAGGTTAATTTCCAAAAAGCAGAGTTTAATTCAAACCACAAGTTCTATTTAAAAATCAAAAAAGCAGAAAATTTGGAGTAGGAAGACTCTATTAAAATGTTTTTGTTAAAAAAAGAAACTCATAAATGGAAAAACAAGGACCAATCATAGAGTAAAGTAAGACAAAAGCACCAAACTTCTGCTTCCTGGCATTTCCAGAGCTCTAGATTTCCAGAGCTCTAGTAGTATATACTACTGTGAAATAATTTCAATTTTGATGAGGTAATTCTTTGTCATTCATTAGCCATAGAGCCATTTATTCCTAACATGACTACAGTCATTTTTTTTTTTTTTACAGATGAACTCAGTGATTGCCTACCTGATCTCAGCTCTTGAGCAATTAACAGTGACTAATATCACCAGCATTAACCCATGTGAAGCAAGCATACTTGATAGACTAGGCAAGGTATACTCAGTAGATAACTTTATATGGGAATTCAAAGAGCAACAAAGGAAATGACTCATGTCATTATATTTATCTCTGAAGAGAAAGTTTCTTAGCATTCCCTGAAAGTCTTATGTGATGTATCACACTGAAGAAAACTTTAACATGATTAAAGAAAATGATGGCCAGGCTATCCACCAACCAGTGAAAGGGGATTGTTATATTTCAGGCCTCTGACAGTGGCATAGTATTATAGACAAATACTTCATTCAAAAGCAAAACAGTTATCCAATGTAGACTACACGACCAGAAATGAAGAGACAGGTTTAAACTCTGACTCAAACTAGACAAAGGATTTTTCAAACACAGGCGTTTTCAGGATTCTCTGAGGTGAAATATGGGAGAGACAGTTTCTGATTACTTTAAATTTGGAGTAAGGCTTCCCATTGCTTTTAAGTTGTGGTCCTGGAGAAGACTCTTGAGAGTCCCTTGGACTGCAAGGAGATCAAACCAGTCAATCCTAAATGGAATCAACCCTGAATATTCATTGGAAGGACTGATGCTGAAGCTGAAGCTCCAATATATTGGCCACCTGATGTGAAGGGTCGATTCATTGGAAAAGATCCTGATGCTGGGAAAGATTGAGGGCAGGAGGAGAAGGGAGCGACAGAGGATGAGATAGTTGGATACATCACATTCATTCAACTCAATGAATATGATTTTGAGTAAACTCTGGGAGATAGTGGAGTATTGAGGAGCCTGGGCGTGCTGCAGTCCATGGGGTCTCAAAGAGTCAGACACAACTTAGTGACTGAACAATAACAAAGGCTTCCCATAAACACCTGCACACCTATTTGCACACACTGATGTGAAAGAGGCTTTTCTGTTGGCCACTGCTTAATGTCCAGAGTGTGGCCAGCTATTTCTCCTCCTAGCCAAGGTTGACACACCTAAGAATTACATCTGAAAGAAAAGCATAATTTTTGTTTGTTTGGTTGGTTGGTTGGTTTTTTGGCTGGTGGTGCCAAAGAGCAAAGACAGGTAACCTGGATGACTTTTTACAACTACTAAGTGCTGGAGCCCTGGCTACCTGGCTTGGAGAGACTCAAACCCACACTCAGCTGATGACTGAGCTTTCAGTGCATGAGGTGGAGGTCACAAGCTCTTTCCCAGTGCTGGCCAGTAGGCTGTTCCACAGCCTCCACCAGCTGCCTGCACATGGGAGCAGCCGGTCACCATGGAGTCCAAGGAAACGGAGTGGCAAGATTAGTGTAAAACTATCTCTGTGAATAGAAAACAGCATGACCCATAAGGATGAATAAGTAGCACTCTCATCTTGTGCAAAGAAGAGCACGTTATCTTAGAAGCGTGCCCTGCACATCGGAGATGCAACCTCTTAGCTATGCCCTTAAAACTTGGAAGGACAGAAAGGGGCAGTTCATCACCAGAAATAAAATATTCATAGACACTCAAGACTGCACACAGGGGGCAGAGGTGGTGCAAAAAGTCCTTCACTTATCCCCTTGAGTCAGGCTGTGTATCTGGGGTTGCTCCTCTTGTGTCCATCCCCATCCCACCACTCCTCTAGGTTTCCTAGACATTTTGCACCCCCCGACCCTTGCCCCAGACCCATGCCCCTTCTTCTTCCTTTTGGCCCCTGACAGTAGTTTCTATCTTGTTGTCTCTTTGAAGGAGTAGTGGAGTTTTTGGTGTTTCAGATCTTACGGGATAAAGAAAAATTGTCCCTTCTACATCAACCGCAAAGTGAAGCACTGACAGGACAAATAAGTCTTCCTCTATGGAATACAGACCACTTTGAAGAGCCTAACTGTCAATGTTTGTCCATCTCACCCAAGTCTGTCTGTTATCCTAGACTGTAGGAGGCGGAAGCCTGAGACGGGTGCTGCTAAGGTTGCCTCCTTAGCCTGAGAAAGCAGGTCAAGGAAGAGGCCTCC